GGATACTTAGATTGGACGCCAAGTTAGTACCTAGTCTAATGTGTCTAGTCATTTGTTTGCTGCAGACCAAATTCTATCTTTAGTCACGTTTTCAATGGGGCCATTATTCTTGGTGCTTCGCCACCACTATGCATTACACTGTGTGTATTGTTGGTATTCAAGATTGCAGATACGCCTTGCTGACAGGTGAGTGTCAACTAGGACAAAACCTAGGTCAACACGACACTTCCTGTGGGTGATCGCCTTCAACTATCTAATATCAATATCGTGATCGCGAGCCACCTAGCACGATAGCCACATCGCAAACTTGACTGACTGATAGAATTCAGTCTAAACCAAACAAAGGACTAGACGCAATACACACTGATTACTAACTCGTATCCAAAATGATGTGGCGCTAATTATATATTGCACCATTTGAATGGATTAGTGTTCAATATTTCGAGGAACTGACTGTTTTCTTGTACGTGATCTATTTACTTTGCTCCATAGTAGAATGATTTCACTTGATATCACCACGCATGTGGTCCAGGGTTCGATCCCCGGCCGACTCTAAGCCAATAATTAAAACTGGTAAGTAGGGAAGATTGGGCATGAGGGGCAGGCTAGCAACCCCATCCTGTAAAAATAAACACCACTGCTACCGATACTTCAAGCTTCTAGTTTGAAGGCGCCCTATGTTCCACTGACAACGTAAATGATTAAAAAAATTATAATAAAATTTGATATCACACCTAGTGATATAAGTAATATTTATTTACTCCTCATAATTAGGGTGCCATTCAAACTTACGAATTCATTTAAGTAACCAACTGTGCAGGCTAAAAGTACCTGTTAATCCAATTAGATAAAAAAAATGCGCTGTAACCTACAAATGCCTTGCAACAACTATGAAATCAATTACTTAACTAACTTTAATAGATCGGCTTCATTTAAGTATGGAATGATTGGCTTCAAAAAGATGATCAATTTAGAAGAAAACTCAGCGATTGCATTTTTTAAATTTTTTGATTATAGCTTGATTCCACACCGTATTTTTGTTAAAAGTATGGAATTATTCAGCATGTTATATCGGTGGCCTAAATTCTGCAGGCCGATCCAATTGATATCAGGTGTGCATCGGCAGAGGATCGAACTCCGGACCATGTGCATGGGTAGCGCAAGTCCTAATCGCTTGGGCACTGACGCACCTATACTAATCCTGTACTAATACACCATAGGGTAAAATAGAGCTATACTTCTAAAATTCATTATCGCTAATTCAAAAGACCGGTCGATTACTGAATACTTGTTCATCAAATCTTCATTATGAATGGCGCAATACCAATATCAGAGATATAGGAGATATTATTACCAATTAAATCAGCGGAAAATAAATCATAGAAGTGTGCAAATAAAATCTGAAAGTTGCATCTCGACATGATTATGCGTAGTAAAGTGTTCTCAATACACCAACTGGTAATAAATAGTGTTATGTAGAATTAAAATCATCCTTTTATGGAATTCTACTCTACCACAATACTGAAACAATATACTTGTATTCACAGAACCAATCACTGTATTGAACAGTTTAACCAGATGAGATCGTCGTTTCTCAGTAGTCTGGGCAACAAGGCTTTCAGGTTTCAAAACGATTACTATTCTTCCTGAGTATAAAGGTGAGAAAATACACTTTACTAGGGTGCAAGTACGTCCATCTGATTAATTTTTAAAGAAAACTGAAGTCGTATCCTGTATTCCTTGTATTATTATTATCTCCTCAAGTTCTGAGTAGAAAATAGGTCTTCAGAAGAACCTCTCTATCTCACCCAGTTTCATGAAGTCTTTTCTATCTGTATTCACGATTGCCTGGAAGATGTAATTTCTTCCTCACACAATCTCCTGAATGTCATCCTCATACATACATACGCCCAACTCGTCATTTCCCTAACTGATGCGCGATGTCACTCATCGGTTTCCTCAGCATATGTTCAATTCATCTTCATCTCCTTTTGTTGAAGGATAAGTTGATTCCTTGTACATCACAACTCCTTCGTGGTTATGCTTTCTGGCAGTAATCTTATCTTCATTATCGAACGAAGACAACTGTTGATGAATGTATGCAACAGGCTGTTGGAAATGCATTTCGTGACTCATGCACTCTTAGAGATATTCGTCTTTTTTCTTACGGTGATTGTAGCAGATCTCCACATTGATTTCATAGTAATAATTGTCTGTCTTGCTTTCCCAAGTCTGACTTACTTTGACATTCTCATCTGTTCCGCCTGTTTGCTGTTTGCATGAGTGATAGAGGTGACCATCTACAAATTTCCCTCAATAATACTGATTGGTGCTTGCTGCTGTTGGTCAGGTAACACCTCTGTCATCACCTCCGTCTGCTCTATGTTCACTTGTAGTACTGTCTTCTCTGCCAACTTGCTAGATTGCTGATTTTCGCCTGTAAATCTTCGAGTTTGTCTGACATTAGACACAAATCACCTACGAAGTTCAGATCTTCTAGAGTATTCATGCTGACCTGATGCATGCTACTCTTCCTCACCCACCGCGTGCCAACACCGTTTGTCGCATTTTCCAGTCTACCACAATCAAGAATACCATTGGTGATAGTAGGCAGTCTTGTTTTACTCATGTTTTTGCTTCAAGCACCTCGTTGAGTTTCCTGTTTTGCACCATCTGATACGTGGCATCGCCACATAGTTGTTGAATGAGGCTGATAACGAATTGGCCACTGTAAGCCATAGTATTGAATTAGTTTCCAAATTACTTCGTTGTCAACCCTATTGAAGTCCTTTTTAAAATCCAATAAACTGAGGTACAGGTTTGACTACCATTCTATGCTTTGTTCCATGATGATACGTAAAGTTGCAATGTGATCAGCACATGATTTGTCTTTCCTGACTGCAACTTATTTATGTAGGAGTTTTGCATCCAGAGAGCATTTGTAAATCTCTTTCCTTTCTCATTGCCTGTTGAACACTATGTAATCAATCTGTCATCTGATTCATTACCTTTCGAAATATTACAGGATATCTAATTAGAAATGACTGATAATCGGTTCGTTGGAGTCTTCATTAAGCACAGTTGGTAGATGCATGCATCTTTCAACAGTAGTAATTATAAGAATTATTTATTCTTTAATGCTCTCACTGGAACATAGGGCTTCAAGCTAGAGCTTTGAAGTTTTGGTAACAGTGGTGTTTATTTTTGGAGAATGGAGTTGTTAGCCTGCTTCATGCCCAACCTTTTCTCTTCACCAGTTTTGTTGTTTACCGACTTAGAGAGGTAGTAGGAGTGCATTGACTGAGGATCGAACCCCTAACCACGTTCATGGTTGACGAGCATTCTGCCGATGTGCCACCGACTTTATTCTGAGCAAAATGCCTATACACTATACGGATTTCACAGCATATTTTATTTCATTTAGGATCTTCAAGTTATGTGGTAACCGAAGTATATTGTTTGACAAAATGCTGTTCCATCTGAGGAGAAAAGCAATCCCTTGAGATATACCCTTCATCTTTTTCGAGTAACACATATTCGTGCCTTAAAGCCATATTAAAATGTATGCCAATACATTTCGAAACACAAGGGCACCATAATCGAGTGTTTAAAACAATAAGAAATGAAGAAAATTTGCTGTAGTAGGCTGTATAGAAATTCAAATAGCCTAGTGACTTAAGCAGGCCACTAACAGTGACGCAATTGTTCAAGGTGTTGTTTGTTTTTGAAAAACTTATTCACCTTGGTCATTGGTGGCTAATAGTGGAATCCTAGATGTGTATTTCGTCTTATTTTGGACACAAACGATAGCTGCTTACTTGACGTGCTGGCCAGCCTTGCATATCTCAATGACCAAACGTGCTACACTAGCTGGCTAGAAGTCCTACCATACCAGTAAGATTGTTTAGATAGCGATTAGACTAAATGCAGTTACCGTCGTAGTGGAAATCCTTTACATTATGTTGAAGATCTGTTGACGGAGTCGTACTGATGGTGAAAAGGAATATACTAGTGGCATGGTGTTCCCTTCAAATGAACAGTAAGTCATGCATGCTACTTTTCTTCTCCGGAGAGGGGGAGGAGGTTTTGAAAAGGTCAACCCCTAGAATAGTACATAACGACTCAACTTCTTGTGGTCCATTGCGAGAGGTAAGATCTCAATATGGATGCAACTCTCCTGAAGTAATTGTCTCCTGGGCTCTGTGGTCGTGCAACACTAATGTTCTTCCTATTTCGGGTAAATTAGAACAAGAAACAAACTTCCATGATGTGGACCACCGGGAACTAACAACCATCCGCATACTTCCAAAGGCATGCAAAGCTCTGCTGGTCATGACCCTATTTGATAGCAGTCGGCTAGAATTACCTACAATTTTAGTCAGTGATGGTATTGCTACTGATAGTCTAACTCTTCTCTTATCGTTATAAATGTTAAATTATCATTCAATAGAATACTACAACTATGGATCAGAAACATGGCGAACGCGTCACGTAAAACATTTTCAACAGGCTACTGCTGAATTTTGTCAACAGCTGCCTTCGCTGGTTTCAAATGGCCGTAAAGAATAAGTAACCAGAAATTTTAGCTGTAAACAAACCAACCAAGAGCCCATCGTTCAACAAATAAAATGGGAAGCGATGAGTGGCTCGTTGGCTCAAGGGTGACATGAAGGAGATCGTGTGAGAAGGAGATAAGAGATTATCGTCAATCATAGTCCTAGCCGAAGAGGGTGGCAGAAAATAGAACAAAGTGGAGATGTGTTGTTGAAGCTGAATTTTCTGGTCGGAACCCAAGGAAATAAGAATCATAATAACAGACTACAAAAGCCGTGTCTTGTACAACGTCTATCAGTTACAAATTGTTTTTAAGCTGATATGCATTGGTCATTCCTTCTTTATACTCTGACCGAGCATTTTTTCCGACAACGAATAACTTAATAATTAATCCTTTATTTATTTATTTATTCGATAATATTAGATTATTTCTTATCTTTGTATAGCTACAATTGTATGTGGATGGACAATTAGTTCCAAATAATCCTGAATTAGTCCAAATAGCTGAAAATATGCCAATGATACACTTATCGTCTAGAAATCATGAGCATGTGCGTACTACAGTTGGAGCATGTTGGCATGGACGTAGTTCACAATTCAGTCAACATTTTTTGGTAAATAGTTACTTTTTGCTTCACTGAATTTATTATTTTTTTCTTTCTTTTTACGTTTTGTAATTTATTATACTATTTCATGTTTTTAATGTGATATTTAATGGTAACACATTAGATGATGATGTAACAAACTGTGACATGAGATCATAATTCCTTGAAGTCAACAATTTTACTGTCAAGTTGTACAACAGTGGCCGACCGAAAGCTGCTACCTTGACGTGGTGGTCGGGCTTGAACACCGCAATGACCTAATCAAGCTATACTGGCTGAGACTTATGTCTCTTGAGGTTCTACCATGCCAGGCAGGTTGTTTGGATAGCGGTTAAACAAAAAGCAGCTACCTCATCCAATACCATGATCCAAACAAATTCACAAAATTTCATGCCGGATCGGCCGTGGCCCGGATTAACAACGACCGCGCTTCCTGCTGCCGTGTCACAGGGCGGGAGTGATAAGTATGCTACTGAGGCACACCAAACAAAAAGAACAAACAAAAACAGGCCGCGTGTGACCGGCCTCAAGCAGTTGTCCCCTGGGCTCTGCGGTCACGCAACCAACTTCCACGGTGTGGGCAGCCGGGAAGTAACAATCGCCCTCACAATCCCAAATGCACACAAAACCTCTCTAATCCTCACTTATCTTTGTCTTCATCTTCATCTCTATTACCTTGCCTTCCTCCACTGATGCAACTCCTCTACTTGATGGCTCCTCACTCCCTCTTCACTCTGTGTCCACTAAAAACGACGAAAGCCAAAAAACCACCACGGATAGTCTCCTAAAGCCACGCCACCAATTTCATATAGGAGCATTTAATGTTAGGACACTTTGCCAAATAGGACAACAAGCATCACTAGCTAAGACCCTGGCATCTCGAGCCATTGATGTATGTTGTGTTTCAGAAACACGCATACAAGACCCAAGTGTGGTTATTCACCTAACCCCACCTGGCCAACAGGATGAATCTTCAAAATTCACCTTGAGGGTGTCAGGAGATGCCACAGCTAGTTCACGAGGATTAGCTGGCGTAGGGATAGCTCTGAGTACTAGGGCAGAAAAGACATTGCTTGACTGGATCCCGGTAGATAGCCGAATGTGTGCTGTCCGTCTGAACGGATCAGTAAGAAGGAGAAAGGACTGCACTACTCGCCGATGCCTTTTCGTAATCTCCGCCTACGCCCCCACTGACTGCAGTTCGGATGAAACGAAGGATGAGTTCTACCAAAAGCTGTCTAGTTTGGTGAGAAAGGCTAAACGCTCAGATATAGTCGTTCTAGCTGGTGACTTTAACGCTCAAGTAGGGAAATTGTGTCAATCTGAGAAGGATGTCGGTGGCACCTATGGAGTTCCGTGCCAGCGAACCGACAACGGTGACCGTCTCCTACAGTTCTGTTCAGATAATCATTTGTTTCTTGTAAGCACTAACTTTAAACACAAGGAGAGACACTGTTTAACCTGGCGACCCCCATCATCAAACCAACGCTGGACACAAATAGACCACATAGCAATAAGCTATCGTTGGCGTGGGTCGGTAGGAGATTGTCGCTCCTTCTGGAACACGTGTGTAGATACCGATCACGCACTGGTCCGGGCTCGTGTGTGCTTACGACTGAACGGACGTAGGAAACAGCTGGCGGTAAAACCATCACGTCCCCAGCTCGATCAGGAAACTAAATCCCTATTTGAGGAAGAACTAGCTAAACGCATATCTGAATTCGACAGCTGTGCTCACCCTGGAGAAGCCTGGAAGAATATTCAGTCAGCTATAGATACAGCTGTAAAAGCTGTGAATAAGGCAAATCCAAAGGTGAGTAAAAACCACTGGATTTCGACTGCCTCATCCGAACTGATAGATGCTAGAAGACTTATTCCGGCGAGCTCCGAATTCAATGAGGAGCGAAAGCTGCACAAAAGGAAACTTACTAAAAGTCTCCGCAAGGACCGTGAACAGTGGTGGGTGACAAAGGCGAAAGAGATGGAAAAAGCATTGGCGATAGGCAACACTAGGCAACTCTTTAGACTCATCACAGAATCGGGTGGGAGAAGGCAATTCATAAGTGAGACTATTTCTGAGAAAAATGGCTCCTTAATTAGCTCTCAGGATAGACGCCTTGAACGCTGGAAAGAACACTTTGAGGAACAATTTAACTTGCCTACAGCCACACTGAACCTCCCCGCCATCCACCACGTACCCGAATGGGATATAGACACTGGTCCGCCGTCTGTAGGTGAGGTTACAAAAGCTATCAGTAATTTGAAACGAGGCAAAGCGGCAGGACCCGACGGAATTATTCCGGAGGTGTTTAAATATGGGGGTGACATACTAGTTTGTAGATTAACTGAGGTACTAGGCAAAGTCTGGGAATCAGAGACAGTACCATCAGACTGGGGTAAGTCACTTATTATACCGATATTCAAGAAGGGAAACAAGTCCTCGTGTGATAATCATAGGGGGATCAGCCTAACGAACATAGTCTCTAAAATCCTAGGCTCAGTAATCATGCATAGACTAAGCAGAACTCGGGAGGAACAGACAAGGGAAAATCAAGCAGGCTTTAGACCAGGTAGAGGGTGCATAGATCATATCTTCACTCTTCGACAGATTCTAGAACATAGACACACTTTTCGGCGTCCAACAATTGTCATATTTCTTGACTTGAAGGCGGCCTTCGACTCCGTGGATCGAAAGGTACTATGGCAATGTCTGACTGTGAAGGGAGTGCCAAGAAAGTACATTGCACTAATCAAGGCACTCTATTCAAACTCACGTAGTCGTGTAAGGGCTTATGGGGAATTGTCATCTGAATTGGTAACAACCAGTGGTGTCCGACAGGGATGTCCACTTTCCCCATTTCTGTTTAACTTCATCATAGATATGCTAATGGAAGTATCCTTAACTGAACGTAGTGACTTAGGAATCGACTTGTTACCAGGGAATAATCTAATGGACTTAGAATATGCAGATGACATAGTCCTGTTAGGGGAGGATGCTGACAAAATGCAGAGTCTTCTGAACACCTTGAGCAGCAATCTTCGTATGTTTGGCATGCGATTCGCCCCTGCAAAATGTAAGATGCTGCTACAGGACTGGACCCGTCAACCCTAACTTAGTGATAGGGAGTGAAGTGATAGAACATGTTGACCACTTCACCTACTTGGGAAGTTGTATTAGCACCAACGGACTGATTGGCGATGAAATCTCAGCACGGATCCGAAAAGCTCGAGCTGCTTTCGCTGACTTACACCATCTCTGGCGTAGGCGTGACATCCGGTTATCAACCAAGGGACGTGTGTACTGCTCATCAGTTCGCTCCGTCCTTCTCTATGGCTCTGAAACATGGCCAATACGCGTTGAAGACATGAAAAGGTTGACTGCTTTCGATCATAGATGTCTGCGATCTCTGTCTCACGTTAGGTGGTTTCACAAGATAAGTAATGTTGACGTTAGGCGTAGAGTGTTGGGCAAAGAGGGAAAATCAATCGACGAGGCTATAAAGTTACATAGACTAAGATGGCTAGGTCACGTGCTGCGCATGCCTAACCACCGCCTCCCCCGACGGGCATTGCTAGCTGATATAGGTTCAGGTTGGAAAAGAGCCAGTGGTGGCCAAACAAAAACATGGCATCAATCCATGAAATCCTTGACAGTTAAACTGAGTCAGGTAGGGAGATGCAGACTCCCGGGTTGGGGCCCTCGGGACTCTAGGAATCAATGGCTGGAGACAATAGGTGACATGGCTCAAAATCGTTGTCAATGGCGCAGATGTATTCAGTCTCTGTAATCTTTCATATTCCTTTCTACCATTACCCATTCTGTTTCACTCTTATACTTGTCAAACTCTATTAATTCTCTTCACTCATCTTCTTGTCTACCTCTGTGTGCTATTTGGAACGTGGCAACTCGAACTGCTGCACTTCGGTGCCAAGTTCTATGTTGAATCCAGACAGATAGTGGCGACTTGAACTGCCGCACATATGTGCAAAGTTCTTTGTCGAAAGCAGATAGACAGACAGACAGAAGTCTATACGCTATCGGCAATCAAACTAGCAGGTCTTTCGTTTCAGCATACTTGTTACACGTAGAGAAAAGGCGGTCAGTTATAATTTGAATTATCATCACCATATCAGATGTTACGTTCGACTGTTTTAAAGGTAATTCTATCAACTTTTTTTACTCAGCTAAAATACACCTGTTGTGACTGGCTGACTGGTTTCAACAAAGAACTTTGCATCAATGTGCATCAGTTCATCGTTTTAATACAAAGATGAAAAAATAACACTTAAGTGTATATTAGGCTAATCTCTCACCTTTGAGATTCTTCAATCAACACATTCAAAGCATACACAGTGAATTACCCCCGTAAAAACCACATTTTTCTTCCTAGATTCCTGACTGCTTTAAATACTACTTGATAGTTCAGTGAAAATTGTGACTAAAGCTCATTTTCAATGCATAATGTCTAAGTCAATGAATAATGTCTGTCTGTCTGTCTGTTTTCGACATAGAACTTTGCACAAATGTGCGGAAGTTCAAGTCGCCACACTCCGTGTAGCACGCGAAGCAAGAGAAGAAAGTACAAGAAAAGCATGACAGAGACAGTGAGCAGAGGTGTGAGACAAAGGAATAGTATAACGAAGAACAACATAGTTTCATTGGAGATCATAAGTCACAAGGAGTGGATGCATCTGCGCCACTGAGAACGATTTTGAACCATGTCACCAATTGTTTCCAACCATAGATTTTTACCGTCCCGAGGACCCCATCCGTTAGGAAGTCTACACCTTCCTACGTGGCTCAGACCAACTGTTGTGGATTCATCAATGAATAATACTGCAAAGTTTGATCTTTCTTCCAAATAAAAGATGTTGTATATTTTTCTGTGAATAATATTCAAAAACAGGCGATTGGCAGGATGAGTTGCTTCACTTAAGTTTCGTGTTAGTTGGCACTCACCAGTCAGTCAGTTAGCAAGGCTTATCGACAGCCTGGAAGCAACTCATGTCCCTTTGAGATTCAAAACCGTGTCACCACATAGTCACCACAAGTCTAGTCCTTTGTTTGCTGTAGACTGAATCCTATCAGTCAAATTTGCGATTTGGCCACCATGCCACTAGTGGCTCATCATTACGGTGCACTCAGAATTTCCATGATTGAATGGTTGGAGGAAACCTTGGACTTAGGTTTTTGTGCATGCTAACAAACAACTATACTAATATCTTTCTAGACATCTTCAGAGTAAAAGTTCGAAGTGAAATAAACATTTAAAATTTTCTCTATAAAGAATGCACAAAGAACTGAGAAAGTATAATTGAACTATCTAATAACAGCAATTCTGAGTGCACCGTGATGGACAACAATGGACTACAATGGTGGTCACATTGCAAACTTGACTAACGATAGAATTCAGTCTGCACCAAAGAAACGACTAGAAAAGTTACACTAATTACCAGCCATTGTCCAATTAAATTATCCAATACACTCCTACAGGAGGTCAATTGGGAGCCCAAATACCTAGCTTAGTGGTAACGTCTCTGACTGCAGCATTGGATGGTGACACGGACTTGAATCTGAGGAGGAGAAACATGAGTTGTTCCTTCAAGGCTGTAGATACGTCTACCATTCTGATTGGTGAGTGCCAACTAACAAAAACCCCAAGTCGAACAAGGTTTCCTGCTTGTTGTTACCTTCCACCACGTAATATCAACAATTCACAGTGCAATATATCGCGATGGCGATATTGGCGACATTGTAAACTTGACTGACTGATAGAATTCAGTCTGCACCAAAGAAAAAACTAAACACATTACACTAATTACTAACTAAATTCTATTCAAAATATTTAATATCTACTAGAAGGCAAACACACGACTAGTGAACATGACATCGTTTAATACGAAGATGGAAAAATAACACTTAAGTGTATATTAGGCTAATCTCTCACCTCGGAGACTCTTCAATTGTGCCTGCATAATGCTTAGCTTCCGCTTAAATCTCATCTCAAAATTGTCACCTCAAAGTTAACAACATTGCCATATTAATGAGGTGAGTTATTTAGAATGATAAAGAGCACTTATAGTAGCTTACAGTGCAAATGTTTAGGTTAATTTTCTATTTTACTTTTTTAATTTCCGGTTGAATTCTGCTTGAATAACGTTACAAATTAACGTTAACGTTAATGTTAAGCATCGTTTTCCGTTCCCGATTTTTTTCGTTAGTCAAGTGGCTTAACTTTATACGTAATTCTATTTTTGCCTGACTTCACTTTAACGTAAGTAGTTAATCTGTAGATATCTGGGTGTGTGTGTGCGCGCATGTTGAATTTTCAGTTATATAGGAAGGAAATTAGTTACAGTATTTATTATTTAGTTTAAATGAGTTATTTTTAGTTTATACATATCGATAATATCATCATGGACTCACTTCTTTTGAACAGAATTCAAATTCCATGCATTGGATTATGGGATGGACTGTAGGGGGAACTGAGAATACGCGCATATGCTGGACTGACAAAAAGACACTAAAAGATCTTGACGATGAGGATGATTTGCGTCTCATAGATCTCACAAACCAACAAGGTGTCAAAATTAGTCTACATGCAAAGAGGTGGTGAACATACCTAACCTACAATAAGAAGCAAAAATCATTACCAATAGTGGAAATCTTAGGGAGCTCACTTTTCTCATATTTTTTGTTATCTCAGCCGCCAGCATCGTTTTACCTACAGTCAGTTCAGATAAGGATGTCAAACGTAAGACCAGAAAAGCTACACACACGTATGACACTGTAAAATCATAGGGTTAACAAGACGCGGATCTTCGATACAAATGTGCTTCTACATGGTTTGGTAACTTGGCGTATCTTAATAGACATTTCTAACAAACTGCCGATATCCATCAGCACCTGACTGAATTCTCCGGTTGGATAATGTGAATCACTTGGTTAGAAAGTTTAAGTTACAAGAAATTCTGTCAATGGACTAACTAAGAACTCAGTTGCCCAACAAAAATAGACTGAAGAAAATGAACATACTTTGAAGAGTTCGTCGATTGACATTGTGGTGAGAGCAGGCTGCTAGCCATTTGGTAGACATTAATCTACGTCAATGTCTAGGTCAATAATATTGGCCGTGAGAAAATATAAGCAAGGCTGATTCAACAACCAATCACAGCAGACTTAACGTGGGCAAATATGATTCGCAGATAGATGGCTCCACTTTTTGATGTTATCCGAGACAACCAATCAGAACCCTGCGTTTGTTTGCTTAACTTCCGAGAAACAACCAATCAGAAGACTGCGTTTGTCTGCTTGAATAAGCTATAATAATGTACAAGAAATATATATAAATACATGTTGATTTCCATAATAAAACGATCTGTTGCCGGCCCTTGTCTTCTGTTGTTACGACGTCACATAGTGGGCAGGCTTTCACGTGGAACTCCATTGGGAAAAACGGTTAAGACGTGTACATCTGAGGTTGAAACGGATGGCATCATGTGCTTATGCAGTGATAGCTTATGGACAATTGTAAAGCAAGCTAAAAATGACTTCACGAAAACTACTTATCCAGACATGAATATAGGAACAAAAGGTACAATGAAGAGTCCCTTTTTTGGGCGAATTCATTCACTTAGCTGTACAATCACAATCATATATAATTATTTCGTGTGTGTGTACATGAAGTTTGTCAAGTTTAGATAATTAGTTAGATAATACTAGAATAATCTAATATAGAAACAAGGTTAATTAGACAGCAACTAAAGTAAGATTGAGTTAGTAAGTTAGATGACGTAATATAATTGATTAAAATGTTCCAACGTAGGTCAGGATAGCAACAGAGGTAATTTCAGGTAGAGACTAAGTAGAAGTGGGGTAGAGAATAATGTCATTTAAATTAGGACTAAAATTGAGCTTATAAATTGGATGATTTAACATAAATGACTAGAAATTGAGCATTGGTCAAGTCAGTAACAGGGTAGTCAGGTGTAGAAATTAAATCGACTGGGGGTAGAGAACAGGAAAGTTGACAATGTAAAATATTACAATTGAAAGGACAAATAGTGCTTACAAAGAGAAAGAAAGAAATGGAATTTACCTGTCGGGTATTACGGTAGATTACGTCCATAACAAGTTTAGTGATTGAACCAACTTCTTCGGTATGCAGAGTTCAGGACTTAGGAAGTGAACTGCCATTGTTTCTGCAGTTCGTACACTTTTACGAGGACTGCTTCATATTCTGTAGACGACCTTGAAGTTTGATTGGGGTGCAGGTTGGTGTCCCGAATCTAACAGATGTTCTAAGATTAGTAAGTCTCGATCAGGGTTACGTCAAATGAAGGACGTTCATAAAAAAACAGGTTGTTAATGAAAGAGCATGGAGACGAGTGTCCAAAATAAATTACGTAGTAGTAGGTAGAAAGAGTGAATGACGGTTCAATCAGGAAAAACACGTTACTAAAATGTCACACAAAATTCGCACAAAATAGTGTTAATAACAAAATAGTCGAATATGGGAATGGAGAAGTTTCTTCCGTGTCCATAAATCACGATTTTCCATCTGAATTGCTAAGGCCTCAGCAATGCAAAGTATGTGTAAGCTTACTGTTATCGGGAGACTTCTTTTGACTTTGTAGATGACTTTGAATGAATTTTTCTTACATATTGAGTGACCAGTGTTGAAAATACATTCATTTATGTCACCCCTTATTGACCCACTGTTAACTTCTTGGTAGCCAAGCACTATAAAACACAAATCGAATGATTTCCGAAAAAAAAGAGTGAAATGATGATCTTCTGCTGAAAGTCTACATCCACTTGAAACCCTATCATTGCTGAAAATGTCTATCTTATTCAAAATTATAAGCATACCTTTCAAATTCCCTCTAATCTAAATCATTAATGTTCATTTACGCCTTAATTTCCTGTTTGTTAAATTCATTTCAGAAAATCCCCAACCTCTATAGCAATTACCAACTTTAATATCCCTATCTTCCTCAGTATAATAAAGACTGTCAGTGGAAAATCAATTGGACAGGTGGCCTCATGATAAACAGGCAGTAACGCATAAATAATTTCTATTTCAGCTACGGCATTACCCATGATACAGTAAAATGATGACTTTGTTAACAGTTAGTTGTTTGTCATAGCTTAGCTGGTACAACGTCAAACTTTTCACTCCCAGGCTGTTAGTTCGAGTCCTGCTGCGTATCTCAGATGTTCATTTCACCTTTAATCGTCATTATATATAACACACTAATTAAAGAAAAAACCTTTTAATTTTTGTACTCATTTTTTTGTGTATATTTTATTTTAAATTCTTTTTATCTAAATACACAGGGTTACCTTGCTGGTTTAACATTTACCAATGGTTATATACAAACTAGTGAAGAATTACGCTGTCTGCCTAATTGTGAACCACGTTTATTTATAAATGATCCAACATTTGCTACAAAAACTGATCGTTTCGATACAACAAGTGTACGAAATTCACATTTAAATAGTATTATTATACAAGCGAAAAGTTTGAATGAATTAACAAGTCTTCTAAGAAAAGTAACTTATTATAATCCAAGATTACAATATAAACCAAGATATCGACCTGAACCAGTAGCTATTCAATTGAATACAATGTTCACGTAAGTTTTGTACAACTTGTTTCATTGTCGTTATCAGAGTGAATGATGAGTGCTATTGATTGAAGATATTTAAGTAATATTTAAAGGTATATTTTGTTACAAACCGAGTAAAGTTAGAGTATCATCCAAAAACCAAGGAGAACTGGAAAGCTGTTTCGTCCTTGCCTAGGACTCTTCAATAGAAGTCGATAGGATTCCCTCGTAAACGGAAGATCCTATATCATTCTCTGATGGGATAATCGATGTTCACGGCTGAAAAGTTTGAAACTAGGAGGAAGCAGAGCTGGTCAGTGCTCTTTGTTTCGCAAAATTGATTCTCTAAATGATGTCGGTCGGTGATGGAATCTAAGTCCCGATAAAACCTGGTATCTGAATATAATAATTAGTATTATTGTTCCCTTGGGTTCCGAGTAGAAAATATGATCGATCATAATCTCTCATCTCTTCCTCGCACGATCTCATCTATGTCACCCTCGGACAGTCGCCTAATCCATCGTTGACTATTGCGATTCCATTCGAGAGATGGCGTGCATTGATCTTGTTGTCATTCGACGGTCTCCTCAGTTTGTGACTGATTTATTTACACTTTCTTCTGATTATTTGTTGCGTCAACCAACTCTTGGTTGGTTAAGTTCCCCAAGTTTATTGTTGCTAGTTCTTAATGGTTATTTGATCCTCAGTACGGAACAAATGCAGTTGTTGTAAAATTTAACAACAAGCTGTTAGAAACGCTTTTCGTGACTCATGCGAAAAGTTTCTCACCCACTTAGAGGAACTGACTGAATTAACATCGGCTTTGAGTATCTGAATCTTTGTGTTTATACTGACTGAGAGCCGGAGATTTCCAAACTAATTTCAGATTTCAGGATTTCATCATGAGCTGACATTAGTTAGAGAACCATTGGAAAACTGCCTGGGAGTACTGGACAGCTGTTTCGTCCTAGTTTGGGACTCTTCAGCAGTACGCACCCACCGGGATTTGAACCCAGGACCTTCCGGTTACAAGGCTAGCGAGCTCGTATACCATTAAGCCACTGGGACCCGATCCAATGGTCCTTGAATTCTAACTTCTGCCAATTTCAGATTGATGAAGGTTTATTTTGCCTTTCCAAATATCCCTAATATAATGTTATGATATTAAACGAGTTATCTGATAAGTTTTAGGTTGTGTTTGAGAAAGATTAAGTTACGGTTTAGGATAATGATAGTTTAGGGTTAGTTAAGCCTTTAAGAGTGTTGTTGGAGTTGATTCGAGTTAGATTAGTGTTAGTTTAAAGATATTTCCACTTTAGGGTTAGGAGACCTAGATAAAATAACTTATACATTATTTGGTTAAATCACTCGGTTGTGACTCTAGTCTTTAACTGGTAAACACTTTTGTTGCACATCAGAGAAAGGTATCCTGTGTAACATTTTTATGCTTTTTCATTCATTATTTTAATGAATATATGTGTATTTTATTCGCAAAAATATCCCCTATCACATGATTGATGCATTCAAGGTCATTTGTTTTGCTATTTACTATGGTGCTTAAAGTTTAAATTCGTCCTCTCTCTCTTGTGTCACTCACTACCGATGTTAGAATAATCGAATGGATAACCATGTTCCCGACAATCTTTCTTCTCTGTGTCTGTCTGTTTTCGACATAGAACTTTGCACAAATGTGCGAAAGTTCAAGTCGCCACACTCCGTGTAGCACGCGAAGCAAGACAAGAAAGTATAAGAAAAGCATAATAGAAACAGTGAACAGAGGTGTGAGACAAAGGAGTAATAAGAAAACAAAACAGTTTCATTGGAGATCATAAGTCACAGGAGTGGATGCATCTGCGCCACTGAGAACGGTTTTGAGCCATATCACCAATTGTTTCCAACCATAGATTTTTACAGTCCGAGGACCCCAGCCAGGAAGTCTACACCTTCCTACGTGGCTTAGACCAACTGTTGTGGATTTCATTGACTGATGCCAAGTTTTTGTTTGACCGCCGCTAGCTTTTTTCCAGCCTGACCCTATATCCGCTAACATTGCTCGTCGAGGGAGGCGATGACTTGGCATACGTAGCATATGTCCTAACCATCTCAGTCTTTGTAGCTTCACGACTTCGTCGATTGATTTCCCTGTTTACTAAACTCACGCCTAACTCATGTTGCTCACCTTATTATGCCACTTTACACGGGAAATAGACGCAGGCACTATTCAAAGCAGCTAGTCTTTTCATGTCTTCCACTCTCAGTGGCCAGGTCTCACTGAACTCTGTGTGCTATGCGCTTTCGAATAATGTTCATTGTTAACCTGCTTTGTGATTTACTGTACTGATGCTGCTAAAATTGAGAGTATTATCAGTTTAAGGCGATTTATTATACACTTGATTTCTAGATTTTGTCGAATCAGTTCTCATTAAAAAAAGTGTTGATTACTTTGACTTGAGAATTTAGTGTCGACCGAAAACTTTCAGAGGTCTCCTTAAGTCAGTGTTACTTAACAACTAATCACATTATTGCGCAGCTATTAGTACTGTGATGGGAGAAGATAAGAGACTAGGTAACGGACTACATTTATTAAGAAAAACACAATATTTACACATTCTTAGCCACACTAAACTTTAGCTAGGTCAGAGGAGAATAAGTTCTTCTGATTGGTTGACGACTGATCCAAGGTTAAACAAGTTATCCAATGAAATTATTTTATGTCCGCAACGTAAACCAAATCCAGATTTGAAGAATAGACACTTCTGCCTCTTCAACCAGCCATTACTTAATTTCGGCTGTTTCCTATCAATCTTCATCACGCCACAGTACTACCTGCTTGGCCACCCAAGCCGCAGTAGGTTGGACAGGATCCGAACTTTTGAACCGGTGGTTGGAACTTAGCCAGACGCCTAGACCTATCAGCTACAGCTCCGTTTCATCAGTGTTTTATGGTTTTTTCTTCTATTTCTGTTCAACAATTATAGCTTAGAGTCTGTGTATTACTTCCTTCGCCAGTAGCATATCAGTGTTATTATTATTTCCTTTAATTCCTAGAGGAACATAGGGCTTCAGTCGCGCTTCTCCATTGCGTTCGGTTCTCTGCTAGAGTTTTCACCTGCCTCCAAGTCTTCCCACATGCTTTCATCTCCTCTTCACATCAGCTCCTCCACGTCACCCTCGCAATGATGACCAAATCGCGGCTTCCCGGCCGGGCCACTCGTGTCTAGTGATGTCACTTAATGGTTTCCTCAGCGTATGGCCAATCCATCTCCATTTCTTCCTGCCTATTTGTTGCACAGTTGGTTCGCTCACTGCCAGAGATCCCTGTTGCTGATCTTTTCTGGCCATCTGATCTTGAGTAGTACTGAGCGAAGACAGCTGTTAATGAAGGTCTGAAGTTTGTTTGAGATGCTCTTTATGATGTGCCAAGTCTCTGATCCGTATAGTAGCAATGACTTTACTTTAGAGTTGAAAATCCGGATCTTATTTTTGATGCTGAGTGTTGTTGACCTCCACACAGACTTGAGAGTAATGAAAGCTTGTCTTGCTTTCCCGATCCTCACTTTAATGTGATATCCTCATCAGTTCTGTCCGCCTGTAATTGAAACGTTGCTTCCCAGGTAGACAGATAGATAGGTACAGGAGGTGGCTTCTTTCAGATTTCTCCCATTTATGCTGGCTGGTCGTTGTCTGTTGTTGCTGCTTTGACTGTCAGCCCGGAATCTCCATCACCTCTCCTTGTTTCCTCTATGTTCACCTGAAGGAAGTCCTATCTTCTCTGGATGCATCTTCTGCTAACCTGTTGCTTTTCACTTGCATATCTTCCAGTTTGTGGGAAATCAGACATATATCATCGGCGAAGTCCAAATCCTCCAAGTATTTTGTGTGGTCCATCTTATACTTGTATATCAGCATATCAGTAGTCATTATGAATCATTAAAAGATAAAAATCAAGGATTTCAAAGATAGCTGAGAAAAATTTGTAAGCCTTAAAATGTTCCGGTGGGTGGTAGCCGAGAAACTTCGAGAAACAGTGAATTCCAGAACATCAGATAACTTTTCAATCATAGTTATTGAACACTCATCTGATTACGAAATCTTCCAAGACTTATAAATACTTCAGACTTAAAAAAAAAAGATATGAACTTCAAATGAAATTAGCTTTTGTTTCAATTCTGATCACGGATTAACATCAGTTAGAGAGCCATAGAAAATCAGCATGGAGTAATGGATAGCTGTTTTCTCCTAGTTTTAACCAGTGGGATCCACCACCATGTCAGGACTGAGGATATATACTCGCTACCGATGACATTACTGATGTCAGTCGTGCTAATATCACGAAATGATAGAAGTTAGAATTCATGGCCTGGCTATCGAATCGGGTCTCAGTAGCTAAGTGGTCTACAAGCCAGCTTGACTGGTAACCAGAAGACCCTGGATTCGAAACCCAGTGGTTGCGTGCTACGGATGAGTAGTTCAAAGTACTAAGATGAAACAGCTGTTCAGCATTCCCTGGACGTTTCCAATGCTCCCCTAACTGATATCAATTCGTGATCAGACTTGAGACAAAATCAAATTCTTACAAACAAAGTCATGATAAACAGTTTTGTTGAAGTAATACGCTTCGTGGACACTAGCAAGAGAATTTGGGGCATGCATTCAGTCCTGTCTAAGATTCATTAACTGGTGAAGGTGCACGTTGTCGAAAGATGACAAAATCATGTGTCCTGGATATTCCACTTCAAGCATATACCAGACAAATACCTTCCAGTTGTTTCCTCAACGTGATCTTTATACCAAACAGGGAATTGCTGACGTGGACGAAACATAATAAGTTTCAGGATTTCATCATGAGCTGACATTAGTTAGAGAACCATTGGAAAACTGCCTGGGAGTACTGGACAGCTGTTTCGTCCCAGTGTCTGGGACTCTTCGTCAGTACGCACCCACTGGGGTTCGAACCAGGGACCTTCTGGTTATAAGGCGAGCGTAGTGCTGAAGAGTTCCAAACTAGAACTAAACAGCTGTCCAGTACTCCCAGGCAGTTTTCCAATGGTTCTCTAACTAATGTCAGCTCATGATGAAATCCTGTAACCAATCAATAAAATCCCTACCAACCAACACTTGAAAATAAGTTTCATTTAGCCGTTTTTAAAAGCATTACATAACTAGCCTGCATAGACAACCTTGAATTAGTCATTTATTTTCACAAAATTTTCACAAATATTACTTTTTATGTCATATGTCTTTATGATCCATTTATGGTAAACTTATCCTTCTTAATGTATCCAGTATAACTAGCAGAACAAGCTAGATAAAATGTTACAAGTCTCATTGTTCTTTTTGTTTCCGATTACTGAAAATCGGCGGGTTATTAGGTGTAATTCGATATTGATTCATTTTTAAAAAAAAACATTCAAAGATAATTTATTTTATTTATTTTGTTTTTATTTTATGTGTGTAGTTTGTCTCCAAAGCTACCCAGATGTGTATACTGACAGTAGTCGAGTAGTCCATTACTGAACCAAAACAAAAAAATTGATAAAAGTCATGAATTCATTTTTATGCCTATTAGTTGGGTGTAATTTAAACAATTCACAATTGAAATCTTGTATACCATTTTCGCTTTCACATTGTGAGAAAAACCCGGTTAGGGAACTCAGATATAATTGTCCTACATTTCAGATTTTCCAAAACTAATGTCAAGTGTCTTATTCTGTATATGGTTGAGAAACCTTGGTAAGCTATGAGAAGCATCTCTGACAACCTGTTGCAGACTTTTATCAACAACTAACTCAGCTTCATACAATAAATCAGATGGCGGTCGGCAAGCATAAGCAACAATCAAAACTGGGAATGAATCAACCAGGAGATGTAAAATGTAAAATGATGTTACAGGACTGGACTACATTAACCTCTAGTTAAGAAATAGGAAGTGAAGTGGTAGAGCACGTTGACCGCTTCACTTATTTGGGAAGTACCATTGCCAACGGGTTGATCTCTGACAAAATCTTACCACGGATACAGAAGGATAATTTCGCATCTGCCAGTTTACGCCATCTCTGGCTTAGTAGACGTGATATCCAGCTGGCTATCGGGTGTACTGCTCATCAGTCCTCTCCAACCTCCATTATGTCTGGCTGTGAGACCTGGCCACTGAGAGTGGAAAACATGAAAAGATTAGCTGTCTTTGATCATAGGTGCCTGCATTCTATTTCCCGTGTGAAGTAGTATAATAAGGTGAGCAATATTGAGGTTAGGCTTCGGTCGAGTGCTAGGTGAGCAGGGGAAATCAATCGATGAAGTTGTGAAGTTACAAAGACTGAGATGGTTAGGACATGTGTTACGTATTCCTAGTCATCGCCTTCCTCAAACGATGGGAGATGTTAGCTGACATAGGATTAGTCAGGCTGGAAAAGAGCTAGCGGTGGTCAAGCCAAAACATAACTTCTTCAGTCAATGAAATCTTTAACAATGCAAGAACTACAGTTTTAGCAGAATAAAATGGTACCATCTTTTATTTCGTTGCCTTCTCGTCAGCTGCTTACATGGCAAAGACATTATTAAATATATCTACAACAACAATTTTAACATACTTACACAGAGTTCAGAAGGCAACGAAATAAAAGATGGTACCATTTTATTCTGCTAAAACTGTAGTTCTTGCATTGTTCAAATTCATTAAGGGGAATAAATGTATGAAATCTTTAACAGTTAGTCTAAGCCACATAGGCAGGTGTAGACTTCCTGACCGGATGGGGTCCTTGGGACGGTAAAAACAAATGGTTGGAAACAATTGGTGACATGGCTCAAAATCGTTCTCAGTGGTGCAGATGCATCCACTCCTTGTGGCTTATGATTTCCAATGAAACTGTTTTGTTCTTCGTTATTACTATTCCTTTGTCTCACACCTCTGTTTACTGTCTCTGTCATGGATTTCTTCTACTTTCTTCTGTTGCTTTGTGTGGTACATGGAGGGAGAGTGGCTACTTGAATTGCTGCACATCGGTGCAAAGTTCTATGTCAAAAAAAGATAGACAGATTGCCCAACTGGTCAGAGATTCACTGGATTTGAGGTCCTATCTTACAGCAGGAGCAAATCATTTTTTCCAACTCAGTCATATTTGAAAAAAATATATCTCGATACAAACTTTATGATGATTGGTGCTCTATTGTGCTTGTTGCCATCACTAATTTATTTGGTTACAGAATCTCATCATGGGCTGACATCGGTTAGAGAACCATCGGATAACCACCACTGGAATACTGGACAGCTGTTTGGTCCCAGTGCTTGGGACTCGTCATCAGTATGTATCCACTACCAAGGGTTCGAACCCAGAACCTTCTGGTTCAAGGCAAGCAAGCCCGTAGACCATTAAGCCATTGGGACCCGATCCAATGGCCAGCCGATGAATTCCAACTTCTGCCAATTGAAGACATGGCGCGACCGCTAGTCAGTGTCTTTGGTGAGTATTTGTCCTCACACCTGACCTGGAAAACTAATTTATTTTTTACCAAAGCATTGCAGCGAAGAACTTTGGCTTATATATCGAGTGCTTCTTTCTGTTCACTCTTGTTTCATTGATTTGGGTTATACTATGACTTTTCTTTTTCTGGTATGCTTTTATAGCTACTCAACTGACTGTGAAATGCCGTCTACACTAAATCAAGTTATCCTGATTAGTCCATTGCCACCGACAAAGCATACATTATCTGTACTTGATGCATACAGTAAGAATGCCTACACAGACCGACATCATGACAACAGCCATTCTAAGAGTTATCAGCAACACAACAACAACATCCACAACAGCGGTATAACAATGAACAAGCACACCAAAGACCTTTTAGAAACTCGTTAACAGCAAGTAATCAGACTCAACAAAGTTCGCCTACTCCTCATCGCCCCCACCGAAATGAAATGTCTTCTTTATCTGGTATTTCATTGATCTTATCCAATACAAGAAGAAGTGAAATCCTCAATCAAACATTTACATCAAGGAAGATTGATTCAGATAAACTGTCGTCAGGAGTTACAATTTTTCCTGATTTAATGTTATCTTGGAAGGTATCATCTGAGATGATGAAATCATTTAATATATGTAAGTAAAATAATTTCATAATCCCCCACTGTAATAATGATTACATAATATACAGCAAATTAAGTCTTTCATATATATATATATATATATTCATTCATTCGTGCTTATCGTTGTTAGGATTAGTTGAGTGGCAGAGATCAATCAAGTGTTCTAGAATAGAACTTTTCAAAGCCTTCCTTTCATCCTTAGAAAACCAACCTGGGATGTGCTACGCTATCTGTGTAGGAAGCGCTGCCCGACTTCAGCTGCTTTACCTTAAGGTGAAGTGGTAAATACATGCAGAGGCGGCCAGATGAAGTAGTCTATTCTACACATAAACATAGAAAAGCTTCTGACTAGTAAGGTAGGATCATTTTTAAGCAGTTAACTTGAGAGCTGAGTAAAAGATCAAAATGAAACGTTTTTCTACCATATTTGTTTTTTCTAAAGCTGTTGAGGTAGTCGTTTGAAGCAACTGTAGTTTATAGTAAAGAGAGTCCTTTTCCACCATACTCTTAACTATAGTTCCTTGTTTCCAGATGACAGAAGAAATAGATAGGTACAGAGATTGACTTCTTACCATGGCATGCTGTTGGCCTAGAGTATATTATTTATTTTTATTTTTATTTATTTATTTATTTTTTTGATTAAAGCTTGATTCCACAGCGTATTTTTGGTACAAGTATAGAATTTTCAGCGTGGATATCGGTAGCCCAAATTTCGCTGGCCGACCATAAATATCAGGTGTGCGTCGGTAGGGGATGGAACCCCGGACCATGTGCATGGTCGGCGAGAGTCCAAACCACCGACGCACAGATGATACAGATGATAGTGACCTCCTAAGTAAAGGAACTGAAGAAATTCAACAGAAATCCTTGAATATATGATATGCGATTCGCTTCTGTTAAATATAAGATGATGTTACAGGCTTAAAAATTATACCGACTCCTAGTTTAAGGATACGGAGTGGAGTGGTTGAGTAATTTGACCACTTCACTTATTTGTGGAGTAGCACCAATCCTAATGGATGATTACTGATAAAATATCAGCGCGGAAATACTAATCTCAGATTCATACGTCAATTTACTTCATCACTGGAGTAGACGTGATATCCAGCCATCGATCACATCAAGTGTATACTGGGCATTGATCCAATCTATCCTTTATAGCTGGAAGGTATGAAAAGGCTAGCTGCTTTTGACCACAGATGCTTGCACACGATCTCCCATGTTAAGTGATATAATATAGACAATAATATTTGGCTTAAGTGTATTGTTATGCGACGATGGTAAGGTAATCAATGAGGTAATGAGGCTTCATAGATTGAGATGGACAGGACACGCATTGTCTCTATGCGAATCCACCACCTTCTCTGACGAGTAATGTTAGCCGACATTGGATAAGGTTTATAAAAAAATTTAGATTTAGTCGAATCAAAACCCATCATAATCCGATAAGATCTTTCAGTTAGTTTGAACCACGTCGCTAGGTTTCGACTGAGTGGTTGGGAACATTTAGATGCTGAGAATCAGTGACTGGAGACTACTCATGATATGAATCTATTCACTCCTTGTGATCTCCCATATATATATATCAGACTCTTCTTGTTTTCCATGTTACTACTGTTTCTCTCCCTTGGACATTTCCTCTTTTTTAAATTCTTTTTAATCTCTCTTTTCTCTACCGTTGAGTTGATTCACTTTTATGCAAAGTTCTATATTGACAGTCAATTAGTTCAGTGAATCATTGAAGAGTTGAAATATACTACACAGCAGAAGGGTACAGCAGGTCGAAGGTGAAGACACTGCTAAGTGATCACGCTATGTCGTGAATTGACAGGAGTTGGAATTCATGCACTGGTCATCGGATTAGTTCCCAATGGCTTAATTATCTACAGGCTCAGTGGCCTTGTAACCAGAAGGTCCTGATTTCGAACCGCTGGTAGTGGGTGCTTACTGATGAAGAGTCTCAAGCACTAGAACGAAACAGCTGTTTATTTTTCAATGGTTCTCTAGCCGATAACAGCACATGATGAAATCCTTCAACCAATCAAACAAAATCCCTACAAAATCAATACTTAACAATAGAATCTCAGTGAACTACTTACATTTCATCAGTATGTAACAACAGAAGACAAGGGCCAGGCAACAGATCGTTTTATTACGAAAATCAACACGTATTTTTTTTATAAAATTTTTAATTTTTTATTTTTAGTATAGTACACCAAACTTGATTATACCACTACTGGAGAAGGTGTAGAAAGAGGGCAGACTACCTGCAGATTGGAAGAAAGGCTACTTATTCAAACTACCAAAGAAAGGAGACTTAAGTTAATGCAAGAATTGGAGTGGCATTATGCTCCTGTCTATCTCAAGCAAAATACTAAGCCACATCATCCTGGAGAGAATCAAACACGCCAACCTGAATGAAAAGCCTCGATCGGAATAGGCTGGATTCAGGAGATACAAGTCATGCATCGATCAAATTACAACACTGCGGATCATTATTGAACAGAGTTTGGAATTCCAGTCACCTCTCTATCTCACTCAACTTCATCGACTTTGAAAAGGCCTTTGACAGCGTCAATCAAGAAGTGATTTGGCAATTACTTCACTACTATGGAGTACACATCTCATCCAACAATTGTGCAATAATGCTACATGCCAAGTAATCCACGATGGGAAACTCATGGAATCCTTCGAAGTGAAGACGGGAGTAAGATGAGCTGGCTGCCTACTATCTCCAATGATTCACCTGATTGCAGTAGGCTGGATAGTTTGACAGACAGTCAGCAACGACGAAACAGGCATAAAATGGATCCACACAAATTACTTGGAGGATCTGGACTTCGCCTATGATATATGTCTGACTTCTCACAAACTGGAAACTATGCAAGTAAAATGCAACAAGCTGGCAGAAGAATCATCCAGAGAAGATAGAACTTCACTTCAGGTGAACATAGAGAAAACAGAGGTGATGAAGTTTCCTGGCAAACAGCAACCGCACCGACGACAACAACAACAGACACAAGTCAGCATGAATGAAAGAAGTCTGAAAGAAGCAACTTCCTTCACCTAACAACCTGGGAAGCATCGCCGTTTCAACTACATGCGGAACTGATGAGGATATCAAAGCGTGAATCGTCGGAAAGCAAAGCAAGCCCTCATTTCTCTCAAATCTGTGTGGATATCAATAGCACTCAGCATGAAAAATAACATCCAGATTTCAAACACCATTGTGACGTCATTGCTACTGTACAGATCAGAGACTTGGGGCGTCACGAATGGGACTTCGAAATAACTATAGACCTTCATCAACAGCTGTCTTTGCTCAATACTACTCCAGATCATATGGCTAGCTAGAAAAGATCAGCTAGAGTGAGGGATCTCTGTGAACGAACCAACCCATTAGGAGTCAATAGTGCAACAAATATGCAAGAAGAAATGGAGGTGGATCGACCATACTATATGATAAAACAAACCATCAAGTGACATCACACACCAGGCCATCGGTCTCGATTGGCAAGTTGATCGTTTTAGGTAGGTTGACGCGGGGAGGTCATGTGAAGAGGAGATGAAAGCATGTGAGCATACGTTGATCCAAGTGAAAATATTAGCAGAGAACCGAACGCAATGGAGACATGTGTCTGAAGCCCTATATTCCTCTAGGAACTAAAGAAAACAATAATAATAATAATTTAGTTTACTCTCAACCATTTTCATCATCATTTTTATCCTACACATGTTATGCAAAAACAAAACAAAACGAAAAAAAAGCAAAATCAATCTATATTTCCAATTGCATTTTACTTTTTACGTCATTCAGTATTGAAAGAAGGCTAAGTGTATTTCCTGTTTTCCCTCCAGTTATATTTATCAAACCATGAAAATCTCTATCCTGTTTTGCATTAGTTAGTTAGTTAGTTGGTGTTTTTGTTTGTTTGGTACTGGTATTGTTGTGGTTGTGTCTGTGTGCCTGTGTATGTGTTTATTAGGTTTTACTAACTAAAATACATTTGTAATTTAAGCAAAAATATTTTACACACATTTCCTGTATTTAGTTCATTTTTTGTTTTCAAAAAATTCTTAGTAATAGTATTAATAATTATAATAGTAAGTAGAGGGGGGGGCTGGTGGTGCTGATTAGCATAGCACTGGTGTTACCTGCATAAGACAACAAACTGGAACAACAACGAGAGAAAATTTTATAGTTTTGCAAAAAATCATGAATTCATTTGCTATTATTATTAACATTCCTTTATTTTCCTCTAGTGATTACAAATAATACATTTTTGGATAATCTAAAATTTGGATAATAATTTTATATTAAGCTGAACAAATCATTTGAATTTTTTCTAGATGTCATAATAGTAGTGACGATGATATAAATGTCTACGACTCTTAATTCTACCTACCTACCTACCTACCTACCTACCTACCTACCTACCTACCTACCTACCTACCTACCTACCTACCTACCTACCTACCTACCTACCTACCTACCTACCTACCTACCTACCTACCTACCTACCTACCTACCTACCTACCTACCTACCTACCTACCTACCTACCTACCTACCTACCTACCTACCTACCTACCTACCTACCTACCTACCTACCTACCTACCTACCTACCTACCTACCTACCTACCTACCTACCTACCTACCTACCTACCTACCTACCTACCTACCTACCTACCTACCTACCTACCTACCTACCTACCTACCTACCTGCCTACCTACCTACCTACCTACCTACCTACCTACCTACCTACCTACCTACCTACCTACCTACCTACCTACCTACCTACCTACCTACCTACCTACCTACCTACCCGCCTACCTAGCTACCTACCTACCTGCCTACCTACCTACCTACCTACCTAGCCATAGTTTTATTATCATTTGTTTTCTGTATATTCTTTTATGTATGTGCTATTTAATTAGATTCATTTTTGTAGTCCGAAATGTTTTTTGAAAACGAGTTTAGTTTCAAAATAATCTTCAGATTGTACATGTCAAAATTTTAGTTAAAAATGTAATGTTAATACCTTGAAATATCATTGAAATCTTTATGCTAAATGTTGTCAACTTGAAGTGCATTACGTCAGATGATTTATGAAATCTTTGAACATGTGATGTTGAAAACGAAAAAATTTTTTATTATCAATTAGTTGGCATTTATAGGAATATTTTAGCTTTTACACTAGTTGCTATCACTAAGGAATATGTGCAGTTCCTTCAATGAAGTCATGTGCTTTGAACTAATTCAGTTTTCTAAGCTGCGTTCTACTGCGTATATTTCTGATGCACTCACTCCAGAAATAGTGAAACGGCTACCTGATGTTTAAAACCTGTTCTATCTGGTTAACAAACACTATTAGTTGATGTAAATGATCCCAACCTATTTATATATTAATCAGTACTATGTACTACTACCTGGCTATACTACATTTTCATCCCAGCATAAATTTTACGCGAAATTAGTTATTTTGGTCGCTTGTTCGTTTATTTTGTTAGTTCCATTTAACGTAAATTAAGTGTTTTCCTCTGTTTTCTGAATAATTGAGTTCTAATGGAATCTGTTAGTGTGAAATACAGACCTTGTTGTTTCAATAAAAGTGAAGGCGTTGAGCGAAGAGTTACACTTCTCGGCGATATCATTTTCAACTGTAGAATCGCTCTTACATATAATATATTTTCCTAGCAAATAAAGGAATGTACTCAATGATGCGTCATCAAGTCAGAATTTGCAGGCTTGGCATTATGGAAAGGGAGCTGAACACACTGAAAAGAATCCTCCTCAAAAATGTCCACCAAGAAGGTTTCATCACAAAATCCTTGAAGCCTAAACCATTAAAACGGCCCACACTTTGTGCTCCCATTCTCTACTTGAGTCTACAATTCAATGGGGACTCATTAAATGAAATATTAAGAAACCGCCTGTATCGATCATTGAAGAAAACCTTCTTCGCGGCTGAACTTCGACTAACTTTCTACATGAAACTAATCATTTGCATGAAAGTGAAGGATAAGCTATCACTATTGGCCTCATTAATGTACATCTACCAATTCATCTGTTCGTTTAGAGCCAGGTGTATCGGCAGTACTCAGCATTTGCTATCCAAACGTACCATCGAACACTTACCTTCATGGTTTTAGAAAGGGGGAAAAGATCCTCTCGCCCGCAGCTGTATCTGGAATACCTGATCAAATCTGCACACCAACCTAACTCACAAAAGTACTACAAAAATATCTACAGAATATATGGAAATCTTGCTAAAAACGTAAGAAACAAACTTCTTCACACTGCAGAATCAATGGCGATTCACATGTTAAATCCTGAACTGTGCATATCAAAGAAGTTTGTTCATTCATTAAATCAACAGTCGGCGTGGTCTATCTGAACACGGAATACGTAATTTTTGTTTCATAAGTGTATTATTTTCTTCTCTCCGACCCCCCCCCCCTTAGTTTCTACTGCTTAGTAGCACCACTGCTTTTAGCTTGACTCTCATTTGATTCTAGTCGAAATGTACTCAACTTCCTCAATTATTTTTTTATAATAGCTTGATGCCACATCGTATTTTTGGTACACATATGGAATTTGATGATATTAGATGGTTGGGAGTAATCGGCAGGAAACCTTGGACCTAGGTTTCGTGCTAGTTGACGTATCTCCAACCTTGAAGGAACTCATATGCCTTCTGAGATTCGAACTGGCGTCACCCAGTGCTGCGGTCAAAGATGGTACCAATGAGCTATTCGGGCTAGCGATTGACCTCCTGTAAGACTGAAGTGGATATTTTTTCTATTAGACACTAGTCAGCAACTAGTGTAATGTGTCTATTCCTATCTTCGGTGCAGACTGAATTCTATCGTTAGTCAGGTTTGCAATGTGGCCACCATCATCTAGGTAGCTCGCTATCATGGTGCAAATTGATTTGATGATATTAAATGGTTGGAGGTAATCGGTGGGAAGCCTTGGACCTAGATTTCGTGCTAATATCATCAAATCAATGTGCATCGTGATGGTGAGCTACCTAGTGGCATGGTGGTCACATTACAACCTGACTGATAGAATTCATTCTGCCCCAAAGAGAGGACTAGACACATCACACTAGTTACTAGTGTCAAATCAAAAGACAGGTATGCAATTTTCAGTAGGTGATATCGGTAGCCCAGATTTTGCAGGCCTACCATCGATATCAGGTATGCGTCGGCCGAGGATCGAACTCCGGACCATGTGGATGGTCGGTGAGAGTCCTAACCGCTGTGCCACGGACGTCACTCAATTTAATTATTTGATTTGATTTCCTATTGGATTAACGCTCTTTGCATTACGTCATTTGTGATATAAAATTTACAATTCTAGCGAAACACCTTTGGAAATATTTTTTCGATTGTACAACTTGAGAATGATATCGCCGAAAAGAAGAGTTACTCTTCGCTGAACGTCCTACTCTTTTATATGACTCATTTGGGATTTTTTTAAATAATAATTAATTTGCTTTATTCCCAAACGGTACTTGTGATACGGAATGGAATTCTCAGCATCTCACTACAGTATTGCATCCAGTTAGTACATTAACAATAAAATAAAATTCTACATAGATTAAGGAAATTTCAGTTCATTATGACAACAACATATTGGCATGTCGGTAGCAAAGCCGACATTGAACAGAGTGTTTGGAGGTGTTATAAAAGTAGATGGTACCATATTTACTGGCGTAAGCAGACGAAAGGAACAAAGCTGCACATAGCAGAGAAAAAAACGAGAGAGAAAAGGAAAAGAAAGAAAGAAAACGTTGTACCTATAAATGATATGAATTGGAAAGACGAGATCCAGTTGTTCTACTGACTATTTAATAAGTTACAGGTATCACGCCTAATACTTTCTTTATCGCACAGAACACGAGCTAAGTAGGGTATGGTTGAGTTTTGTACTTACTAGTACGAGCATATAGTTTTCTGTATAGGCTTCTGGTGTTGCCTGATGAGATACAAGGGAGAGTTGTGAGTGAAGAGGGTGGTGTGAGTTAGATAAAATGGATTTAGCCCATTTTTCACATGAGTCCAAGTGCCTGTCAACCAGAATATTAACAAGCTGGTTAAGTGGTACATAGCTTACCCTGCTGACACCCTTTAACATCTTACGTAATAAGGTTTAGTCTTTCTTCAGTCCAGCCCTGGAAAAACTAAGGGGGAACACTAGAGAATAATAGGCAGAATGCGGGAGTTAACGAATTGTAGAGTAAGGGTTGGGTTATACCAGAATGTCTTAACTTCTTGATGTAGAAGGTAAGACGGAATATTTTATTAAAATCATCAAGATATGAGACGACCAGAAAAGATCAGCGATAGTATGACCCCTAGGTATTTAATTCCTGACTTGGTTTCTATTTCAGTGCCATTTATGTTGCACACCTTGTGAGTGCTAACCAGTTTGTTTAGGTCATATTTGTGCCTAAAGGTGAAATTGGCTGTTTGGCATCTGGAGGGTTTAAGGTAAGATGCTTTAAGTTGCTTAAATTAAATTGGTCAACTCTAATATCAACTTTATTTTGTTTGTTTTTTTCTATCTATGTGTCTTTTTACCTTTCAATTTTAGCTTCAGTCTTTCAACAAACAATTTCAACGTGTTCAATAAATTTATGTAATAATAACAATAATAATCATCTATCGAATTTTGATGGACGTTTACTTTTAAATTCAGAACTTTTATATTTAAAACCAGAATATGCAATAAATCGTTTAATAACATATCAACGTTTAAATGGATTAACTATATATGGCAGTTCAGATATATCAAGTTATATGAATGCTTTAAAACATGTCCAATGGATATATAAAGATAAGCATATCATCCCTTTAAATAAACGTTGTTTTAATTTATCATGTGAAGCAGCAATACAAATTCTAAAAACTGATATAAACTTAATGAGAATTAAAAGTAATTCAATACAATCTGAAGTAAGTAAATGAATAACACTGACTCAGTGAGCTACAGTAACTAGGATTTCTAATTTTATATTAAAATGTCCGCCTTTTGAACATTAAACTTTTTGAATTTAATTACTCCATTATAACAATTAGGTCATTCTACTAAGAGGAAAATAATTCAAAAAGTAGGAATGAATACCATTTATCTTTAAGTGTAACACAAAAATTAAGGTGAACAGGCTAGCAGTGAAGTTCAGAGTACTCCACGTTTCGTCCTGCCTGAGGCTCATCTCTGGATAGGCCTGCATCCGATTCGATGAGTCAGGAACCCAGTACCCATTCTTTAGATCGGCAAAGCGTTATCCATATAGGCTACTGAATAACGAGAGCTTTGGTGTTTAAACCTATGAATGCGCAAAACGCGTGTTCTGAATCCCACTGCTAATAGTAATAATAGTAATATTAACAGCTTTATTCTGAACAATGTTTTTATAATATACAGAATTTTCACCGAGGTTTATTGTTCGATACTACCTCCTCGTCCAGGATCTTCATTTTTTTCCTTCACTTTCCCCAACGGAACATATGGCCTCAAGCTAGTGGCTTGAAGTTTCCGTAGCAGTGTTTAATTTTACAGAATGAGGTTGCTAGCCTCATGCCCAACCTTTCCTCTTTTACCAGCATTATTTCTGGCTTAGCGAGGTAAAGGAGTGCATCGGTGGCCGGGGATTGAACCCTGGACCATGTGCATGGTTGGCGAGCGTCCTGACCGCTATGCCACCGACACATACATACATAACGTTAATTGACAATTGATCGTGTGGCACAGTTCTGTCTGACGTGAAGCTTAAACCAATCCATTATGCTATCTCCTCTTTGTCTCCTCTCTTAGAAATACGCGGTATTTAATTGAATGCCAACTATGAAAACTTCAGGAGTACATTTTGTGAACCTATGATACACAACTCAGGAACAGTTACCTTAAGTATCGGGATAAGCTGCCATCTAGGATAATGCTTTTCCACATGTTTAGTAGAAACCTGTGAGTCAGTAGGTTGTAAATGTTTTGAAAAGAACAAGAAGCTCAGCAAACTGATATCTGTCTTTTCGGCGATTTCATTCTCAAAAGCAGCTGTACAATCGCATTTATATAGATTAATTTACATGGATACAATTCTTATTTGTTTAATTCCACATAGTAATGAAGGTGGTAATAATTTTCAACTTGATATGAAAGTTTGAAGGTACGAATATAGATTACAAGGGGCTTAGAGACAAGACTGCATAGGATTAGAAAATAGTTACAACGTATGCAAAATTAATATTTCATAACTGGAGAAATAATTTTAAAGGCGAATAAAAGGTGACAATTATTTTCAACTTGATATGAATTACAAGAGGCTTAGAGATGCAGGAATAGAACGAATTACAGGTATGCACAAAATGACATGGAAACAAATTGAAATCAAAATTTTTAACTTGAAATGTAAGTTAGGAGGTGTGTGTGAATATAGATTACAAGAGGTATAGAAACAAAAAATTACACAGTATTAGAATATAATTGTAAAATGGTTATTCTAAACGGATTACAATTGTGACCAGGAGGAGCATGGAAACAAACTTAAAATATAACCGATTTTATACATGAAAAGATAGGATGAATTGAATGAAGGCAAAGAGAGAAAATTACACACACAGATAACAAAACAATAACTGAAGGGAACATAGCGAAATGTTTTGAATAATCGCCGAAGTAAACAATACTACTGGAGATAATGTTTTATTATTATTATTATTTTATTATTGAATCCTTTAATTCCTAGAGGAACATAGGGCTTCAGCCACGCGTCTCAATTGCGTTCGGTTCTCTGCTAGAGTTTTCACCTGGCTCCAAGTCAGTCCACATTCTTTCATCTCCTCCTCACATGACCTCCTCCAAGTCACCCCACCCTTGCACTGACGACCAACTCGCCGCTTCAATTTAGGCTTCCACTCGAGGGCTTGTCTAGTGATGTCACTTGATGGTTTCCTCAGCGTATGGCCAGCCAATCCATCTCCATTTCTTCCTGCCTTTTTGTTTCACAATCGGTTCCTGTTGGTTGGTTCGCTCATTGCCAGAGATCCCTTCCTGTTGCTGATCTTTTTTGGCCATCTGATCTTGAGTATTGAGCGAAGACAACTGTTAATGAAGGTCTGAAGTTTGTTTGAGATGCTCTTTATGACGCGCCAAGTCTCTGATCCGTATAGTGAGTAGCACTGACTTCACATTGGAGTTGAAAATCCGGATGTTATTTTTGATGCTGAGTGCTGTTGACTTCCACACAGACTTGAGAGTAATGAAAGCTTGTCTTGCTTTTCCGATTCTGGCTTTGATGTCCTTGTCAGTTCCGCCTCCAGTTGAAACGATGCTTCCCATGTAGGTGAAGGAGGTTGTTTCTTTCAGGTTCCTCCCATTTATGCTGGCTGATTGTTGTCTGTTGTTGTTGTTGCTGTTGATGTTGGCCAGGAGATAATGTTTTACTGAATTCAAACAAACTAACTGGTTAAGAGAATTGATATATAGTATATTGATGAGGGTCTTCAGTAGCCTAAGTTTTAATCAGGCCACCATCAAAAGTTGAATAACACAAAGGTACTATGTTATCTAGTTGGTTAGTTAGTTAGTTAGTTATTAGTTATTAGTCTATTACTTCACATACACCAGGTGAACAAAATCTATAATTGGGGATTTCCTTATTCACCATCAAGCACATGATAGATACAAACTCTCAAGGTTATCTATTTCCGTGTGTTAAACTATCCTTGTTTATATACTATATAACAGGTCATATGATAATTGACTAAGAAAAACACACGGATGATTACATAATCTAAGCAACAGAATGCAGGGAATATGAATGATTATGTATATATATATATATATATATATTTACAACTTGATAATTGAACAAAAGATCGTAATTGTTTTAATGAATATTTTGTGAAAATCACGCGCATAAATTGTGTTATTCTTTCATGGTTTGATGGATGACGGTGAAATGTTGTTTATTTCTATTTTTTATAACCTCTTTACCATAAAAATAAATCGGTAATAATAATAATAATAACAATAACGAAACACTTCCTGACGATGTTAAAATATAGCAACCATAAAGAGTAATTCGATGGAAGAGCCTTGAAAATCATTTTGAAGCAATCAGTCAGATCATTCATCATAAATGCAATGCAAGTATTGCCTTGCTACAGTTTACTCTTCATCTAATTCATTTAGTTTTGTCTAAATATTAGATTTTCTACCATGTTTAATTCAGTAATTCTGTAGGAAATAAGGCTGTCTATGTATGTGAGAATACAGTTGATTAACTTATTTACTAGTATGAATAAAGCAAGAACAAACGTGATTTGTCCAGAATAAGATGGTGCCATCATTTATTTCCTTGGTTTCTCATCATCTGCTTACAGCCTTAAGATATCATTATTAATTAAGTTTATGTACAGAACAATTTTAACATACTTGCAATTTTCATATATGTCAGTTGACAGGAAGTTATAAACTTAATGAATAGTGCTCTGAAAATTACACTTATATACATACGTTCTACCCAGGAAGTTCAAGTTTAAACAAAATTCAGGGTACGCGTACACTAGTGAAGGAGTTACGTAATAAAGACGAGAGATGCGTAAACTGATGAGCAGCTAATAAACTGGGTAACCATGTACTGACTTCAACTCAGATCCCTGAAACAACAGACAATCAAAATTACACTGTATCAAAGGGAGTGAGGTTAAATCTAAAGAATAAGTAATCAACTGGAAGAGAAAATAAGGACACCTAGTGATCAGGATAATGAAAGACTGATAACTGCTTCTTTCTATACACGTAAATCAGTTTTCAGGCATTTTGTATATTGATAATTTGAAAGGATTACGCGATGTCCACCTTGTGACCCATATTGTTGAGATGTCTGGTAATGACACTATTGAAAGTGTCTGTTCTCTTGGGACAGAGGCTTTTTGGTATATATTCAGAAAATCGGAGGTGTGCCCTTTATTCTGTTCTCTCAATGTCAATGCTCCCACAGATGCATGTAAATTTGTAAACACAGAATTAACATGAGAATGGTCGACTTTTATAAAGCAGTTTAATCTAAGTTATCTGTAAACTTGTCTGATAGACTTCTATTGATATTAAAGCAGTGAAAGGTACATTGGTCCACTATTCATTGAAATGAAACCATTTGTGACCTAGATATCTGAAGTGTAACATTCCTCAGTATCGTGTTGATGGAGTCATACTCTAAATCAGTCGATCAGTCTTGTGGTTCACTGATTCATCGTGCTAGTAGGGCTTTCATACAACAACTAATCAGTGACTTACACTGACTGGAATGAATGTTTCACTAGGTCCTATCATACTGGATAGTTCGTTTGGATATCGGTTTGACTAAAGGCAGTTACCATCCTAGTGTAATTCTGCGAGCAAAGTCCTTCTACTGACGAATAGGAGGAGGGGTAAAGTGTTTCCCTTCGACGACCAGTAAATAACTTATGCTGCCACTCCACTCTGTAGAGGATGATTAGTGAAGGTATACGGCGAAAACTGTGAATTCCTACTTACCCCTCAGTGGTCCTGTAGCCGGTGATAAAATCTTTAAACCGACATAACTCCAAAAGTCACTTCAGCTTAGTTGCAGTGAACTGTTTAGTGCGGAGTAGTTTTATATATAGTCAAAAGGAATTGCTATTTAATGTCAATCAACTCTTATCATGTTGTAATATCATATTAAAAGATAATAGTAACATACCACTTCAACTGTACGGCCAAATTACATACCGAATCGATAGATTTTCATCTAGGCAAAGTAGAATAAATGTATATTGCTTGTTATCTTTTAACTAGTATGTGAGCATTATTCAATGACTTGGGTAGATATGGTAGTGAAGTTACTTACTTGTCTGTCTGTCTGTCTGGATTCAACATAGAACTTGCCACCGAAGTGCACCAGTTCGAGTTGCCACCTTCCAAATAG